GTATAAGAAAAACAGTAAACAAAAGCAGAACTTTACTGAAGGAATCTTTTTAAGAGCAAATGAAAGGGCTACGGGTTAATATTTTTTTCTTTCCTTTTTAAAAAGGTTCCATGGGAACAAGACTTCGAAAACCCTATATTGTAGACCCCCAAGGAAAAATTTCCCCGAATATTTACACACGCCTTCCCCTTGGTTTTGGATGGAATAAGGTTTTATATAGGGTTTTTTTTCTTCATGAAAAAACCACCCCCCCCTCACCCCCCTTTTTTTGTTTTACATCGCCTGTCCCCCCCACCAAGATATGAAGAAAAAAAAACCCCGAAAGGGTTTTAAAACCCCCCCATTCACTTAAAAAGCTTTTCTTTCCAAACTAAGCAAACATAATTTTTAATTATCCTCCAAACAGCAACCCTCCCCCAAACCCGCCCCCTTTTGAAATACAGGCAGTGCACCTCCCCCTTCTAGGGCTCCCGCAAGCTAAAAGCTTCCCTTTTTAAAAATGTTAAGTTGGGTCACACTCCAACACGTAATAAACCCTAAAAAAATACCCGTCTCCATCCAGCCTGAACGGTCACAACCTCCCCCCTCCATTTTTTCTAGAGAGACCCATACTCCTCCTTTCTGCCCCCCCTGGTTTATAATTATAACACCTTCATCCTATTTCCCGGTCCATCCTTTCTAAGTGACCAAAACCCCACAAAAACCCCCCTTTTTCGGGGCCCCCTTAAATTTTTACCTTTAATAAACCCCAAAACCCTATTAAATTTTTGTGCTCCTAATTCCCCTGCATTTTTTGCCACATTGCATTCAAATGAACATCAACCTCCTCCTTGCTGCTAAATTTTAAAACCATGCCTCACCCCCATATATTTAAATTTGGGACCATTAAATTCCCCCTGCTTTTTTCCCTTTTTTTTGGCCCCCCAAACTTCGTCTCCCCCCAGATGCCTTCATCTAAACTATTTTTTTATCTCATCGTTATAACACACATTTTTCTGATTTTCCCCTTCTAAATATCTAAATACATTTACTTCTTCCATAGTCCTTCACTACAAATCCTTTTATTGCCCCGGGCCCTTTTTTTTTTTACTCTCATCACTTTTTCTTTTTTTGGTTCATTTTAATTTCCTGCCCTTTTAAAACAACCTTCCCCAATTCTTTTCCCCCAAACCCTTGCACTTTAAAATCTCCCCAGAAGAACTGTGTCATCATTTAAAAAACAAATGTGGGCAATTCCTTTTTGCATCTTTAAATTGTTTTTCTTTCAATCCCACACCCCCTCTCCCCGCACCCAAAAATTCCCAAATCTTTTTCCACCCTATCTAAACAAAAAACCATGGGGGAAAAATCACACATCCAATATATGGCCTGCTTGTTATAAAAAAAAAGTCCCCCTACATGGGAAATTCAAGAATTTAAAAATTCTTTACTTAGTAATCCCAAATAATTAATTTTTTACCTTTTTTAAAAATTGACCTCCCGGGCCCCCTATATCATATGCCTTTTCTAAAACCCACCAAATTAGAAAAGTGAGTTTAAATTACCCATAAATGAGACTTACGGTTCCTTTTTTCTTATATAAATTTTTGTTTACCTAAATCTTCAAAATAACACTTTTTTCTGCACATTCCCCCCATTTTTCCTAAATCCCTTTTTGTTTCCTTTTGCAATCCTACTTTGGGCTTATCCCTTACATTTTCAATAATATTCTTCAATAAAACTTTAACCCTGGGTAACTTAAGGCCTTTCCCCTTTTAATTTTTTAGATTTTTCTTTTGTCTCCTTTTTTTTAAAGGGAAAAATACAATTTTTTGCCAATCCCCTTTTGATTTCCTTCCCCGCTTCCTTGGGATATATTTTATCAATACACCAACCACTTTTAAAACAAAAACCCCTCAACTGCTAAAAATTTCAAGGGCTTAATTCCCAACTGCTTTTGCTTCTTTTTAAAAACCCCCCTTCCATTCTCTCCATTGTTCCCTTTAACACTTTTCCCCCACACCAGTTTTTGGCCCCTGGCCCAAATCCAAACCAATAGGATTTCCCCCCCCGCCCAAGGCATTGGGTTTCCAACCACTTTCCTTTTCTCAAACCCCCCAATTTTTAAATTTTTTTCCTCCAAAAAATTTTTCCAACCTCTTTCAATACCTTTAAACCCTTCCCCCTTTTAACATCGCTCTTAACTGTTTTAAGTCCAATTTTCCCCCCCCCAGGCTTTCTAGCTAAAAACTCCTCCTCCCCCATTTCCCCCCTTTTAAAAATTTTTTTCTGAAAAACCCATATCTTTTTGGGAAAAGGGCATGCTTTTTTCTTCATCTGTCCTAAAAAAATTTTTTAAAGGGAAAATTTTAAAAAACCCAAATTTTAACCTTATTCCTTTCTTTTCCAATTTCCCCCAAAAAAAACGGTCAAACCCACAGGGCCGGGGGGGGCCCCCCCCCCCCCCCCAAAATGAAAGTTTTTCTTTTTGAATTTTTGTAACAAACAGGGGGGAAGGGGTTTTTCTAAAACCCCCCTCCCGGCAAATTTTGGTCACCTCCGAGACACAAATTGGGTTAATGGAGAAAAAATACCCTTTTCCCTTTCCCCCCTGGGAAAAAAACAACAAGAAGAAAATAGTAAAAAAAAATTTGAAAAAAAAACCCAGGGGGGGGTGTGTATCATAAGTCCCCACTACACGTTTCAAAAGGTTTAAAAAAACCCAAAATTTAAAGTAAGAAAAAAAGGGAAGAATACCCCCGAAAAACCCTCATGTTTTTTGAGAAAAAGCAAAACCTAAAACCCCCTTTATTTAAAGCCCAAAAAAACAGGTTTTTTTGTTTCACACTCCCCCGGAGGGTATTCCCTTTCCCCCGGGGGGTTTCTGTTTTACCAACCTACAACCAAATTTTAAAATTTTTTAAAAAACTTAAATGTGAATCCCTTTTCCCCTTTTTTTGGCCAAAAATGGGCTTAAAAAGGGAACTAAAACATTTTTTTCCTTATTAAATTTTTCCCTATAAATTGGGGTTAAAGCCTAAATTTAAAAAAATGTAAGCCCTGATTATTTACAGGTTCCCACAAAAAAGGAAAATGCCCTGAATTGGGTTTTGAAAATTTAAAGGGGGCTTCCCAAATTGGGCCCTTTTTTCATCCATATCCACAAACTCCAGGGGCCCTTTACATTGCCAAAAGGGTTTTGTACACCCACCCCCGTACAAAAAATTTGGTACAGTAAATTTTTTAAATGCACAGGAAAAAAAATTAATAAATACAACTTTTAAAAAGACCGCGTGTTAAATGGCGAATAAATTAACATTTTAAAATTATTGGTGCTAATACGCCCCAAATTCCCCACGGCCATTGGGCTTTCATCCCCCAACCCCCAAAATCCCTGATGCAACAAACCCTTTTGTCTAAAATTAAAGCAATTTCCCAAAAAACCCCCCAAAGAAACCCCGTTTTATTTGGCCCCCCCAGCCAACCCAGTGGGAAAAAATTATGGGAAAAGTATAATAATATAAGTACCCAATTTTTAAAATTTTCCCTTTTTTTAAAAAGGGACCCCCCCTTTAAAGGGGGGACCCCCCGACTTGTTTTAAAAAAAAAATAAATTAAATGGGGGAAAACCCTTTTTTAAAGGTTTTTAATGATTTAAAAGCAAATTTTATTTTTTTTAAACGAGATAAAAAAAAAAAAAGAAAAAATTTTTTCCCCCCCCCCGGGGGGGGGGAAAAAAAAAGGAAAAGGAAAAAAAAAAAAAAAAAAAAACCAATGGGGGGGGGGAAAAAAAAAATGTTTAAAACCCCGTGTAAAAAAAATTTAAATGGTTTCCCCCTTTTTCGTTTTTTAAATTTAATTTCCCTTTCTGGAGGAGCTACTTTAAAAAGAAAAATTTTCGAAAATTTCAATCAATTTTCCCCACAAGAAATAACGAAATCAATTAAATCCTTTCCTGACACCCCCGAAAATATTAAAAAAAAAAAAAATTTTTTACATGAAATATACATGTATACATAAAAAAATACCCTGGGAAATGATGAATGAAACAAATTTAACCCCATAATCTTACCTTTTAAATTGGGGATTTTTTTCTTAGTGGATGGGGGCGGAGGGGGAGAGAGAATGGGATTTTTTTAAAAGGTTTTGGGAAAAAGGGGGAAACCCCCCCTTCCCCAACAAACCCCAGGGACCAATTGGGGTTTTTTTGGGGGGTTTCTTCTCTCCTTTTCTTAAAGCCAAATAGGGCCACCATGAAGCACTGGGGCCCCCCCTCACAAAAAAAACGTGGAGGGAGCTCTGTTTTTTGGCGTCTCTTAAACGCTTCCCTAAAATGGCCCAAACTTTGTGACTGTACATAATTTTTCACCTTTTCCCCCCCCCCTTTTTTTTTCAACAGGGTTTGGGGACTAGAGCTTTCTTTTGAGCCATGGTAGCTTATTTATTTCTTTCCCCAAACACAAAAATGAGTGGAATAAAAGAAATATTTCGTTGGACACTTGAGGGGGCCTTTACCACTGGTTTAAAAAAATGCCCAAACCCCCCTGGGAAGGGGGGGGCCTCACCCCGGGTTTCCCCTTTCCCCAAAAAAACTACTTTCGCGAGTCAAACCCCATGAAAAACGAGTCCCCTTTTTTAAAAACAAAAACCCCCAAGATTGGAAATTTTAAGATTTCCGAGAAACTACGAAAAGCGAGGGGGGGCCACTTTTTTTACTATATTTATTTGAAAATTTTCTGGGGGTAAACCCTTTTAACTCTTAATCCCATCCTTTAACTTTTAAATGACTGAAAATTTTCAGGCATTTCTAATTTTGATCCTCTGTAGGGGTTCCATTGATGATTTTTAAATATTAATCTTAATACTTGTGGGTACTGTTTATTTTGTGTTAAATATAATACACTACAGTATAAGTTTTCAACAGTCTATCAGCAGATTTCTTATTCACTATTACTAGGCTTCATACAAGCTTCCAAAATATAAATACATTATTACATAATAAACTTGACCCTGTTTTCCAGATGTGTAAAAATCCTCAAGAGGGAATTTGTGGATGACATTAACCGGAAACATAATAGTGACATCGCTCTCCAATAAAACCAGTGTTAACTGTGGAATTTCTGTTTTCCAATTTATATTGAAGAAAGACTGTTGCATCATAATTAAGTACAGGTCAGCCATCACTAATCTGGCCAGATTACAGCGGTTAGGTTAGAATACACTTAATTAACCCATCAATAGAGAGACTGCTACATCTTCCTCATTTTCATCACTGCTTTCTCCTCCATGGCTTGCTGCTGTAGATTTACAACCATCTGCACAATTTCCGAGTCAGTATAATGATGAAATTTGAAATTATGCTAGCCAAAATTAGTGCCGGATTACTGATGGAATCAGATAACTGATTGCCAGATTAGTGATGCATGACCTGTATTAGTTAAGTCTTTTATTGTGTCAAAGTTGTCAACTTAACAAAAAAATTTATTTTGCAGTATACTATTATTACAACCCCTAAAAATTTATTGAAAATGTAGGAAATTACTAATGTGTTCAGGAAACAATTTTAATTGGTAATTCATTTATCAAATGAATTTGTAATGTTTTAATTGTTTGTAGAATTTATAAACTTGGTAACTTTTATTTCTGGTATCTCATAAGTTTTCATCCAATTAAAAAGTAGTTGAATTCTTGGTGTACTTATCTTACAAAGGGAAACAGATGTGTAATAGTTTGGATGTGCCAAGATACCACCACATCTGTTGTTTTGGTCTCAAAAGTGCCAATTGTTAAGAGAGATCTTTACAAATATTAGCTTCACTATGTGCAAGCATTTAACCTGGCTTTCTTGAGCTGATTAACCTTATATAAACAACGAAATGCAAGATCTGTCTCATTTAAAGGTGATACAAGCAAATTTTGCTTAAGATATTATATTTTTTGTATTTAGAGATACAGTATTACTTAATATATTCAGATAGCATTGATATGTGTAATTTTTGAACTGGGTTTATTATTACAGTGTAGGTATATTATCTATAGCTGTTACCCAAGTTATCAACATTCTGAAATGAGGTACAGTATTTTCCATTTTATTGTACTCCTGTGAATAATCTACTTAAAAATTTTAATTTTTTATGAATATTTCTGTAATGATTTTCTTTTATAGAAAGTTTGTTTTTTAAACATAACATTTTGTTTGTTATATTAAACAGTTTAATCTTTATTAATAAACACTATTTTGTATGGGATTTCTAGCCTTTAGTGTTGTGCATTTTTCTTTATATAATCAGCTGTCCTATATACATTATCTATATTTAGTAAAAATTTGGTGCTGTTTCAATTACCCCATGAAGCAGACCTGTCCTCTCATTTATGCTGCAGTATTTTAATGGTAAAGCTCTATACTTCCAGTTGCATTATACTGTATCATAGTCAAAACTCATTCAGTGAGTGTTGGTTGTCTGTGATTTTTCTTAAGGCAAGTTAGTGTATTTGAATCTTTATGAATAACTATATTATTTTATAAACTGTATCCTTAATTTATACTCCTCATGAAATTTAAGTATAGCAGAATGTATACTTTTATATTATTTTATATACTGTATCCTTAATTTATATTCCTCATGAAATTTAAGTATAGCATAATGCATTAGAATAAGTTTCTAGATATAGGCTGTAATGTACTACTGCTTTACAGATGTACCTGTGTTCACTTCAAGGTCATACCATGCATAAGAGCATTTACTTTTTTTCTTAAGATGCTGAAATTTTCAAAAACTATTGCCTGTATTTAAAAGTTATTTTGAAGCATTTATCATGTGCTCTCTGGTTTACAGAACGAAGGGTGTACCTTTAGTAGATTTCTTTCTTATACATGTCTTCCAGCTTGATAGAAAGTGGAGATTAGTACAAATATGTGCTACTAGTGTTGGTTTTACAACATTTAACTGGCATGAGAGGGTCTTTACCACAGTATTGTTGATCTCATATCATGGTATAAAGGTTGTGTCTTGGTTTATTGGGTTTTGTTAACTTAATGAATAAAGCCACTTTTAGAACCCTACTTTTGATCAGTACTGTTTTCAAATCACAGACCTGGTGGAGCTCAAACCCACCCATTCTCTGATTTGTTTGCAATTGTGTTATGTTTTTGTGAGTACTGTGTATGATTATTTATACTGTATCTTATAAAATACACTTATTCAGTGCACAGAACCCTCTGAAATCTATTTATAATGGGAGTGGGTGAGGACCAAACATTTTTAACACTTTAACTGTCCAAAGATAGATCTACATTTTTACTGCTAGTGCTCTGAATTTTTTTTTTATGTAAGAAACAGAGAGCAATTTTCTGTGTAAAAAATTTGAGTGTCAGTACTTTTTGAGATATAAGGCAGCAAAGTTGGCACTGGATGCTCAATATGGAGTCCTGCTTGCAGAAATATTACCAATTTAACTTTTTTCTCTTTTTTTTTTCAACAAACTGGCCGTGGCCCAAAAAGAAAAACAAAAGTTTCTCTTTTTAAATTTAGTAATTTATACAGGAGAAGGGGTTACTAGCCCCTTGCTCCCGGCATTTTAGTCGCCTCTTACAAAACGCACGGCTTATGGAGGAAGAATTTTGTTCCACTTCCCCATGGAGATAAGAGGAAATAAACAAGAATAAGAACTAGAAAGAAAATATTTTTATACGTACAGTGGACCCCCGAGTTTCGGCAGCCTCGACTTTCGCGAAATTCGACCTTCGGCGAGTTTTTTTTCTTTTAAAGTTTGGCCTCGAGTTTCGTGAAAAAACTCGTGTTTCAGCGACCGTCCGGTACCCGTCTGCCCGTCACTGTACACACAAAGCCAGTCTCCCACGCCATTCACGCTCAGTGTGCCATTGTTTACCAACACGTGACCATCACCCCGCGGGTTCATGCAATACATTTCATAATAATCCATTGTTTTTTGTGCTTGCAACTGCTAAATAAGTCATCATGGATCCAAGGAAAGCTAGTGCAAACCCTTTGGTAAATAAAGTGAGTGACGGGTGTGGAAGAGTTGGTGGAGGACCACAGGGAAGAGCTAACCACTGACGAACTGCAAGAGCTTCAACTGGAACAGCATCAGACCACAGCCAAGGAACTTGCTTCAGAGGAGGAGAAAGAGGGAGTGGATGAGGTGCCTTCTTCAGTGATTAAGGACATGTGTGGAATGTGGAATGAGTTGCAAAGTTTCACCCTGACCAAGCTGAAACAAGCCGTATCTGCAACTTGTACAATGACAGTGTTGTGTCCCACTTCAGGGAAATCTTAAAGAAACGCCAGAAAAAGACCTCTCTGGATAGATATTTTGTGCGTCAGGGGTCCAGTGACTCTCAAGTTGTTCCCAGTGGCATTAAAAGAAGAAGGGAAGTAACCCCAGATAAGGACTTGCTACCTAAAGTCCTAATGGAAGGAGATTCTCCTTCCAAACAATAGTGTACACCTTCCTCCTATCACCTCCTCCCATCTTCCATCCACCCAGAAGTCTTCAGTAAAGGTAAGTGTAATGTTATTATTTATTTTAAATGAATGTACTTGATTTCTGATTGTTTTTATTATGTAAATCTTTATTTAATTTGAAAAAAAAATATTTTATTTTAATATTTTTGGGTGTCTGGAACGGATTAATTTTATTTCCATTATTTCTTATGGGGAAAATGGTTTCGAGTTTCATGAATTTCGGCCTTTGGCGGGCTCTCTGGAACGGATTAATCACGAAACTCGGGGGTCCACTGTATATACTACTAAACTGTTGTATTCTGGGCACCTCTGCAAAAACAGTGATTATGTGTGAGTGAGGTAAAAGTGTTGAATGATGATGAAAGTATTTTCTTTTTGGGGATTTTCTTTCTCTTTGGGTCACCCTGCCTCGGTGGGAGACGGCTGACATGTTGAAAAAAAAAAAAAAAAAGTATGTGTAGTGTGACCTAAGTGTAAGTAGAAGTAGCAAGACATACCTGAAATCTTGCATGTTCATGAGACAGAAAAAAGGACACCAGCAATCCTACCATCATGTTAAACAATTTCAGGCTTTCGTTTTACACTCACTTGGCAGGACGGTAGTACCTCCCTGGGCAGTTGCTGTCTACCAACCTACTTCCTAGGTTAATTAGTTTTTATGTTCTGATAATCACAATTTATAGTAGATCTTGTGATATAGCCAATTTTTGTTCTTACACAAATATTAAGTATGGATATAGTAATGAAATAGTAACAAACACATTGATAGGTGAACATGTTCACCTGCCTCAGTCACATTATGTTATCTAGAAATATATACAAATTATTTATATAGTAGGTTCCAGCAATGTTTTTAGAAGTGCTGGAGTATATGAAACTCCTTGAAGCACAGTGTCAGACAGAGTGGCACACTAAATTGCTAATGGTGCAGTCACTAAACATTGCTGCACCATCAGCACTACCCCCAGTGAACCATGGCATGTTTTCAATTTATTCTCACTGTTCCATACACACAAGCATGACTGTTTCTGTCTATCTGTCTCAGAGAGAGCTACTCATGAACTTCATCATAAGCTAGCCAAACAGGTATTACACATGTTGCAGTGTTGTCACATCTGCACAACTGGAAACATACAACTGTGGCCAAAATGTGTATTACAGTGGTCCCTCGTTCATCCATTCCTGGAAGTGCGACGATTATCGAATCAATTTTCCCCATAAGAAATAATGTACATACAATTAATCCATTCCTGACACCCAGAAGTATTAAAACAAATTTTTTTTTTTTACATGAAATATAGATGTAGTACATAAACAACACAATGGGACATGATGAATGAAACATTAAGAGCAAAACACTTACCTTTATTGGCGATTCTTCTTAGTGTATGGAGACTGGAGGGGGAGAGAGATTGGATTAGTTACTGTTTGGAAGGGGAATCCCCTTCCATCAACACCTCAGGTACCCAGTCCTTTTCTGGGGTTACTTCTCTTCTCTGTTTATTAATACCACTAGGACCAGCTTGAGAGTCACTGGCCTAAAATGGGCCAAGACTCTGTCACTGTACAAGTTGCCGATATGGCTTGCAACATCCTTCTCTGGGTGATGTTTCTCCATAAATCTTTCCATTCTACCCCACATTTCAAAAATCTCCTTAATTTCTGAAGAAGGCACCTTCTTCCATCTCTCTTCCTCCTCCTCTGCAGCAAGATTCTGAGCTGCGATCTGTTGCTCTTTCTGCTGAAGCTCTTGCAGCTCTTCAGTGGTTAGCTCTTCGTTGTGGTCCTCCACCAACTCTTCCACATCCTCCAAACTCACATCCAACCCCATGGAACTCCCCAATGCCACAATAAATTTCACAACTGACATAGGCTCATCAGGGTCAGCCACAAACCCTTCAAAATCCCTCTTGTGGACACAATCTGGCCAATTTTCTCCAAGCAGAGTTCAAAGTCCTGGTAGTCACTCCCTCCCAAGCCTTACCTACTGTTCAATGATGTTTTTCTTAAATTCAATCGTATTTCTCACCTTTACCAAAAGCTTGGCACTAGGAGCTTTCTTTGGAGCCATGGTAGCTTATTTAGCACTTGCAAGCACTAAAATGAATGGAATATTATGAAATATTTCGTATGAACAAGTGAAGGGACCGTCGCTCACTGGTAAACAATGGCACACTGGCTGGGAAGGGAGGCCGATGCGGCTCAGAGCCGTGAATACGTGTCCAGGACGAACAATGATTAGCGAGTCAACCGACCATTTCCGAGCCAATGTTTGGACGAAAATAACGCGACGATTTCCGAAAAGGATGACTATTGAGCCGGACAATTATCGAGGGACCACTGTACTTGCCACAGTCATGCTTATGCCTCATATCTACTAGCACAGTACACTGTATAGCACTTAGTTTGGCTTTTTTTTTTTCAACAAGTCGGCCGTCTCCCACCGAGGCAGGATGACCCAAAAAAGAAAGAAAATCCCCAAAAAGAAAATACTTTCATCATCATTCAACACTTTCACCACACTCGCACATTATCACTGCTTTTGCAGAGGTGCTCAGAATACAACAGCTTAGAAGCATATACGTATAAAGATACACAACATATCCCTCCAAACTGCCAATATCCCAAACCCCTCCTTTAAAGTGCAGGCATTGTACTTCCCATTTCCAGGACTCAAGTCCGACTATATGAACATAACCGGTTTCCCTGAATCCCTTCACTAAATATTACCCTGCTCACACTCCAACAGATCGTCAGGTCCCAAGTATCATTCGCCTCCATTCACTCCTATCTAACACGCTCATGCACGCTTGCTGGAAGTCCAAGCCCCTAGCCCACAAAACCTCCTTTACCCCCTCTTTCCAACCCTTTCGAGATGACCCCTACCCCTCCTTCCTTCCCCTATAGATTTATATGCTTTCCATGTCATTCTACTTTGATCCATTCTCTCTAAATGACCAAACCACCTCAACAACCCCTCTTCTGCCCTCTGACTAATGCTTTTATTAACTCCACACCTTCTCCTAATTTACACACTCCGAATTTTCTGCATAATATTTACACCACACATTGCCCTTAGACAGGACATCTCCACTGCCTCCAACCGTCTCCTCGCTGCTGCATTTACCACCCAAGCTTCACATCCATATAAGAGTGTTGGTACTACTATACTTTCATACATTCCCTTCTTTGCCTCCATAGATAACGTTTTTTGACTCCACATATACCTCAACGCACCACTCACCTTTTTTCCCTCATCAATTCTACGATTAACCTCATCCTTCATAAATCCATCCGCCAACACGTCAACTCCCAAGTATCTGAAAACATTCACTTCTTCCATACTCCTCCTCCCCAATTTGATATCCAATTTTTCTTTATCTAAATCATTTGATACCCTCATCACCTTACTCTTTTCTATGTTCACTTTCAACTTTCTACCTTTACACACATTCTCAAACTCATCCACTAACCTTTGCAATTTTTCTTTAGAATCTAGGGTTATCCTAGGTAATTTACATTATGTATGATAGCTATACTTATGTGTATGTGTGCCCTTGATTCTGTTCAATTACATTTGCTTGGTATGTATTTCTTAAAGGACAGGCATCCCTTGTACAGAATGAAGGACTAAGTAAGTTTATTTAGGCACAGATACACAAAAATAGTTCTCATACATTGTGTAAATTACCTAGGATAACCCAAAAAAGCCAGACAAAGTGCTATACAGTTGAACCCACAGTTTCAGCCGTAATCCATTCCAGAAGGTTGGCCTAAACTCAAAACAGCCAAGAGTCAAAGCAATATTTCCCATAAGAAATAATGTAAATCCAGTTAATCCATTCTGCTGTCAGGAGGCATGACAAAATAATACTTCGATATGAAGCTATTATGGTATCTACAGCTTATTTATCTATCACAATTCATCTAATATGACATAAAATAATAATAAATAACATAAAAACCTGATACATGTATACACTCTAGAGTGAATAAAATATGCCATTACGTATGTGGTGGCGGAGGGGAGGACAGTCGTTGCGGGCATGCTCTCTCCAGCTATGAAAATGTCTTCCCATTCTTTCCTCCTTCAGACATGTTAGTATAAGAGAAAATAGAATTTGTGAGGCTAATTGCATTAGATCACTTCTTTCATAAGAAAACCATAATGTAGAAATGAACTGGTGTACATATGCCATTTACATACCTTGCAGAAGATAGGCAGAGCGGCGTATGCTGTCAGGAGTTTATTTCGTTTCGTCCTTTTTCTATTGCTTAATCGCTTAGTTACTACACTCTTAATGCTACACACTTAATGCCACACTCAATGCTACACTTTGTCACTGAACTTTAAACTCCACAACTTGCACCTGTGTTGGCATGCAGGAACACATTAAAATCATTAAGTGTGTGTTATTAGTCTTGAAGATGCCATATTAATAATAATAATAACAACACAATGATAATCACTCTGAGGTGCATTAAATGTTGTATAAAACTTTAATATAGACATTGTGCTTAATCCATCTATATTTTTTTTCAAAATTATATAATAAACATGCTACATAACATATAAACATATAAATTAACAAATATAAGATGTTTTTCCAGTCAGCTTGACACAGTGAACAAAATCCATTCGTGTCCGGTCTGGTAACAACAACAACTAGTTTGTTTACAAAACTTGCAAACCTTCTACACTCATGTACTCATTCTCTCTCTCTCGTTTAATCTTGTTTACTCACTTCTCACTCTACATTAAGACTACAAATACTTTTTGGTAAGTAATGAGTGTACCGTATATGCCTTTTATCACCCTGTGGCACTTTAAATGCCTAGTATATAATGTGTGAGTGAGGTAGCCAGATGGGGGTTACATACCTGCCACACTTTGATACCTACCTTACTGTTCATCTTGCAACCTATATTAAGACCATTAAGACTGCAAATATTCCTTGGTGAGGGGCATCACTGCCTCCCAACATCAGCTTCCTTAATTTCTTTTTTCTTCGCCAGGATAGAAGTGATTGTTGATTTGTTTTTGCCATACATCCTGGCAAGCTGGAGCACACAACCACTCTCACGGTTAATTATGTAGCAGTTGCACTCAATCAACAAGCACAAAACACAATGAATTATTGTGAAATGTTTGGATGAGCGCAGGGTGATGTTCACTCGAGGAGAAACAAAGCCACACTGACTCACGATGCCTGCCTGGGCAGGCGGACAGGTCTGGTACGCCGGCCAAAACTCAGGGCACAGTGTGAAACTCAAGACAAAATTTAGCCGAAAAGCGATCTAAACTCGGAGCGGCCAAAACTCGGGGATCCATTGTACTGTGCTTGTAGATAAGAGGCATAAGCATGACTGTGGTGAGTAATAAACATTTTGGCCACAGTTGTATCTTTTCATTTGTGCAGGCGTGATGATTCTGCAATTTGTGTGATGCCTGTCTGAAAGTCTAGCTGACTATCAGGTTCATGAGCAGATCTTTCTCAGAGACCAGAGAGATAGGCCAGCCAACTGAACACATGTTATGCATGTTGCAGAATTGTTTCTCTTTACTTAGAGCATATGTGATAGGACATTCTGGCAGGATGACACTACCAGTGTTATCAAAATTGAAAGGATTTGGCACAAATGTTGCACATGGTTTATTATCTAGGTTTTTGATATTTCCTAGACCACTTCTGGCCACATCCATCTCATAGCTATTAAACTTGAGGTCAACATCACTTTCCTTCTAAAAGGAGTGTTAATGCTGTTTGCTCTAGCTGGTGCTCAACTGAACTGGTGCTCCCACAAGGTATTAAGTGGTCCCAGATTTTTTTAATACTGTGCACAATGTTAAGACCTATATTTCCTAGGCTTATCAGGCCTCTAAACTCTAAATTTAAAGGTAGGAAAAATAAAACATTCACCTACGTTTGGAGCAGTAGCAGTAAGATCTACGTTTGGACTGTTAATGGGCTAACAATGTAAAATTAATGAATATGTTCTGAGCTATAATATTCTGTATCAAGTTTCATTTCATTTTTTCAAGAGAATTTTCTAACCCATGTTTTACATTCAGTATTGTTTCTTTCCAATTAGAAATAGAGGGGTGAGAGTGGGTAAGTGTGAGGGGCAGCTGGTTTGGGTGTGGAAGGGTGTGGGTGGTGTTGTTGGGTGAGGGAGGGTGAATGGTGATGGATAGGAGAGAGGGGGTGACTAGTATGGGAGAGAGAGGATGAATGGGTGAGGGAATGAGTGGTGTGCATGAGAGAGGATGGATGGGTGTGTGGATGGATGAGTGTTGTGGGTGTGAGGGGGGAGGGAAGGTGAGAAAGGATGGGTTAGTGTGAAAGGGACAATGTTGTAATATAAGGGCCTCAGACAACCCACCTGCCAATTACAACCACTGATGTATTAACACAATGTAAATATTAGATCTTCAGTTCTTTACCCAGTATGAGTTCTCTATGCAGTACATTCACATAATGTTCATATACAATTTTTTGAATGCATTTTATAAAAAAGCAACGAAGAAAAATATTTATAATTCACCCCTAGGAAAATAATAAATATAGTTGTTCCAGTATCAGAAAAGTGAGCCATTATTTGTAATTAATTGGTTCCAAAATACCAGTGTTATAAGTGCAAAACCTCATAAGTTGGGGCCCCTACTCTACTTCCACAAGGAAATGCTAAACCCATAATGGTCATACAGTAGTAATTAAGATTTGATCCAAGAAAGAGAAGAATAGCTCTAATTTCTTGGATTATCATTCCTTCACCAACATAAAAGTATAGTTGACTGTTGTTTAATTTTTTTTGTATCTTATACTGTATACAGTGAAATTCATGAATTTATAGAAGATGGTTCCTAGAAATTCCTGCAAGTCTAGAAGCTGCAAATACACCATTTTTTTTTAAACTGGCTGTATCCCATCATAGCAGGGTGACCCAAAAAGAAAAACAAAAGGCTTTCTTTTTACATTTAATAATTTATACAGGAGAAGGGGTTATGAGCCCCTTTTTCCTGGCATTATAATCGCCTCTTACAACATGCGTGGCTTACAGAGGAAGAATTCTTTTCCACTTCCCCATGAAGAAAAGAGGAAATAAAGAAGAACAAGAACTATTAAGAAAACAGAAGAAAAACCCAGATGGGTGTGTAAATATATATATGTGTGTGCATGCATTTATAGTGTGACCTAGGTGTAAGTTGAAGCAGTAAGATATACCTGTTATCCTATGTGTTTATGAGACAAAAAAAAAGACACCAGCAATCCTACCATTGTGCAAAACAATTACAGGTTTCTGTTTCACACTCACTTGGCAGGATGGTAATGTCTCCCTGTCTACCAGCCTACTACCAAGGCCCACTAAATGTCTTTATATTTTGTTTCAGATTTAGGCTCATTCTGTGTTTCAGAAGCCATATTCCTAAATATTGTTCAAACATAATTGATATTGACATTCATAAGAAAAGAGATGTGGGCATGGGAAATCCAGTGAGCACATTTGGAGGACATAAACCAAGCCAAGCCAAAATAACTGAGGATGTTCAGAGGAGAACCTTGATTAGAAAAGCTAGATAACTGTAACACACAAATGCATGGCCACACATTTGGAGGTTTAAGTAGAAAGTATATTGGAATCTATTAGTGGTCCCAGGGATCATCGTCGAATCTCAGACTAGGCCTCCTCAGTTAGAAATGAAATATTTCAGGAATAAGAACCATTAAGAAACAAGAAACGAAACATATACTCAATGTAAGTAGACATTTTTAAGATTTATCTGCATGTTCATGAGACAAGAAAAATCAGTAATTCTGCGAGAGTGCTGACCATCAAATAGGATTCCATTTCAACTTCTAAGGCAGGATCATATAGTAGTACATTACCTCCCTACATGTTCAATGTCTACCAACCTATTATTCTTCCAGCTGTTTTTGTTAAAAAAAATTCTGCAACCCCATTTCCATATTTATTTGAGTTTCAGGGAATATAACTCAAGTAAATGGTTTAAGGTATACAGTATTTTTTTAGGAATTATACGATCTGTCTTAATTAGAAACTGGTGTATTTTTTTCATCGAGCTTCAGCAGTAAATAAATGTAAAACCTTAAAAGGCGATGTACACATAAATGACAGCTAAATCCATGACTTAACCACCTAGAAGCAGACTGTAACCCGTGTATGAATTTTGGGTATTTTAAACGATGTGCAGAATCGAATTTATGTTTTAAAGATGCATACAATGTGAAGACTTGGTGTCTTTAAATGTACAATTTTTAATTCAGTTTTTATACTACAGTATTGTGTTTTTCCATATACATGTACAGTGGTCCCTCAATTATCGTCCATAATCCGTTCCTGGAAGTGGGACTATTATCGAAATAGACGATTTTCGAATCAATTTTCCCCATAAGAAATACAGTGGACCCCCGGTATACGATATTAATCCGTTCCTGAGAGCTCATCGTATGCCAAAAGTATTGGAAGGCGAATTAATTTTCCCCATAAGAAATAATGGAAATCAAATTATTCCGTGCAAGACACCCAAAAGTATGAAAAAAAAAATTTACCACATGAAATATTAAGTTTAATGCACACAAACTGAAGAAGACATGCACAGTTTGTAGTACTCTACTAACAATAGAATACATGACACTTACCTTTTATGAAGATCTGGTGATGATTGATGGGATGGGAGGAGGGGAGAGTGTCGCACTTATTGTTTAGAAGGGGAATCCCCTTCCATTACGACTTGAGGTAGCAAGTCCTTTTCCGGAGTTACTTCCCTTCTTCTTTTAATGCCACTAGGACCAGCTTGAGAGTCACTGGACCTCTGTCGCACAACAAATCTGTCCGTAGAGCTCTGTACCTCCCGTTCCTTTAAGATTTGTCTAAAATGGGCCATAACATTGTCATTGTAATAGTCACCAGCACGGCTTGCAACAGCTGTGTTAGGGTGATTTTCATCCATAAAGGTTTGCAGTTCAACCCACTTTGTACACATTTCCTTAATTTTTGAAGTAGGCACAATGGATTCCACAACTGGCATAGGCTTCTCAGGGTTAGCCCCAAACCCTTCAAAATCTTTCTTAATTTCCATACTAATTCTCACCCTTTTTACCACAGGGTTGGCACTAGAAGCTTTCTTGGGGCCCATGGTGACTTAATTTGCAGAAACAAGCACCAAAAACACTGTGATAATATGGAATGTACCGAATGTATGCTTAGATGCGAGCACACTGACTGGCTTGTAAACACTGGCACGCATGGGGCAGTTCAGGCCTCACGCGGACGCGTCCCGGACGAGTCGCGTGTGGTGAGGCAAATTTTTTGCGTTAAAATGTATCGAATACCGGATTTAACATATACCGATGCCATCGAATGCTGGGGGTCCACTGTAATGTAAATACAATTAATCCGTTCCTGACACCCAGAAGTATTAAAACAAAACAATTTTTTACATGAAATATAGATGTAGTACATAAACAATACAATGGGACATGATGAATGAAACATTAACAGCATAACACTTACCTTTATTGGCAATTCTTCTTAGTGTATGGAAGACTGGAAGAGGAGAGAGATTGCATTAGTTACTGTTTGGAAGGGGAATCCCCTTCCATCAACACCTCAGGTACCAAGTGCTTTTCTGGGGTTACTTCTCTTCTCTGTTTCTTAATGCCACTAGGACCAGTTTGAGAATCACTGGAGTCCTGTCTCACAAAAAAACTGTCCAGTGAGCTCTGTTTCTGGGGTCTCTTTAAACTTCCCTAAAATGGGCCAAGACTCTGTCACTGTACAAGTTGCCGATATGGCTTGCAACATCCTTCTCAGGGTGATGTTTCTCCATAAATCTTTCCATCCTACCCCACATTTCAAAAATCTCCTTAATTTCTGAAGAAGGCACCTTCTTCCATCTCTCTTCCTCCTCCTCTGCAGCAAGATTCTGAGCTGCGATCTGTTGCTCTTCCTGCTGAAGCTCTTGCACTCCTCAGTGGTTAGCTCTTCGTTGTGGTCCTCCACCAACTCTTCCACATCCTCCAAGCTCACATCCAACCCCATGGAACTCCCCAATGCCACAATAGATTTCACAACTGACATAGGCTCATCAGGGTCAGCCACAAACCCTTCAAAATCCCTCTTGTGGACACAATCTGGCCACAATTTTCTCCAAGCAACAACAGCTTCCTTGATTTCCTTTTTCTTTGCCACGATGGAAGATATGGTTGTATGGGGTTTGTTATACGTCCTGGCCAGTTCGGCCACACGTACGCCACTATCATATTGTTCAATGATGTTTTTCTTAAATTCAATCGTATTTCTCACCTTCTTTACCAAAGGCTTGGCACTAGGAGCTTTCTTTTGAGCCATGGTAGCTTATTTAACACTTGCAAGCACTAAAATGAATGGAATATTATGAAATATTTCATATGAACACGTGAGGGGACCATCGCTCACTGGTAAACAATAGCACACTGGCTGGGAAGGGAGGCCGAGGCGGCTCAGAGCCATGAGTACGCGCCCAGGATGAAAGACGATTTGCGAGTTAACAGACCATTTGTGAGCCAATATTTAGACGAAATAATGAGACTATTTCCGAAATGGACGACTTTCAGGCCGGACGATTATTGAGGGACCACTGTACAGTACAATAGTGCCTCTTTGAATAATGCTAGACATCTTATTTAGTTAACATTAAAGAGATTAACATGGTAAGTGGATATGCAGTAGGTGCTGTACTTACTGTATAGTACATATAAAGTTTCTGAATAAGCTTGAGAAAGTAGCACCTCATGTGTTCCTAGATATTTGTTTTATACTTAAATTTACATTTGGACATGTCAGCTATAATGATACTGGAGTCATTGCAGAGATTATTTTTTGCTAAGAAATAAGGTTTTATTTATTGTAACTTTTTCAAGGTAATGTATGATAGATATGTTTTTAATACATTTGAGAATTTAAAAAAATCTCTTTTTATAAACTGTTTTAAGCACCCAGTATTGTAATGGGTTATGCTGTAGGTTTCATATATAATAAATTAGTAATATTTTTCATTTAACTGTTTGTTACTTTTCCAGTGGGTGTGCAAGTTACATTTCAAGTTCACTTTAGATGAAAAAATATAAAAATGAATCTGAGAAGTTGTGCCCTTGTACTTCTTAACAAAATTTAATACGGCATTGTACTTAAAATATGGTAGAGATATTTTTTTTTATTTTTTACTTATGGTATTTGTGCATGGGGATCAACAATAGTAAGTTATCTAAAACCTGTCATGCCTCAACAAAAATCTACTCTAGAATGATCACTAATTTCACTTACTCAACATACAAAATGTCCATACTTACTACTGTGCATACAGTGCTAGTCACTGCATTATGCCGCCCCTCCCCCACACACGGTACCAAAACACATACTGTGAAAGATTATAATATATAGATTTGCACACTTACTGAGGTTTTAATACTTGGTGCTGCATCCATCAGCTGTGTAAGAAGAGACTCACACAAATTCTTGAGGGTTTGGGAAGGTATATTATTCCATGCCTCTTGTAGACCAGCCTCCAGCCGGGGGATGGAACTGATATCCTTGCCCAGTAAACTTTGTTTCACTATTGACCAGAGGTTCTCAATAGGGTTTAGGTCTGGGGAATTGCCTGGCCAGTCATTAAAGAACCTCACTTCATAGTCCTTAAGCCATTGAACTACAAATTTGGTGGTATGACACAGTGCACCGTCCAGCATAAAAACCGTAGCTCCACACTTGTCAAACGCCTCAGGTAAATTGTCACACAATAACTCCAGGTAATTTTACTGATTCATATACTAGTTTTTGGGAAGCACAATGAGTTCACCAACACTCCGAGCACTGAAACACCCCCAAACCATGAGCGAGTCTGGGTATTTGGTGGTCCCACAGGTGTAGCATGGGTCTAGCAGGTCACTACCTCTGGGCCAATACTCATGTCCCCCACAGTTACAGGTGACAGTGAAGGTTGCTTCATCACTCCAAAGTGAAGATATTTCTTTGCATAATCCAGCCTACATTTCTTCTGTGGCTTGGAGAGGATCAGTTTCTTAACCTTGTGGTGACTACTGTACCCCAGTTCTGACACACATCTGTTAACAGTTCTTACAGACACCTCTGAAAGAAGATGTGGGTCTTTTCTTTCAATTTTCTAGCAGTTATCTTAGGTGTACTCTCTAACTGCTTCTTTAACACAGTTAAGGTATGAACAGATGTCTTCTTCAAGGGGCCAAGCTGAGGTTTGGCAGACGGTAACTTGACACCGCCACCATCCTGGAAACGTTGCACCCAGTTCCTCACTGAACGCTCACACACACCAACATTCTCCACCATTTCTTTTGTCTGGTGCCCAGCTTTGTGAAGCCATATGATTTGAGCTATAGTGTCAGGTGTTAAAGGCTTCCTTTTACCCATAATCAAACATGTATAGCCCCAAAACCAAAGGGAACACCAGACAAAAGATGGGGCAGATGAGAGACAAAAGTGCAACACTTCCTCTCACCACGGCAGCCACATGAGCACTGAGGAGTCACTGTGGAGTGTTGTGGCAGGCCGTGATGTCATGTTAACGGCTGCTACCTGGCATAATGCACTGACGAAAAAAAAAAAACCTGTATGGTAGGCCCTTCATTTTTGCCACAGCATTATGCCGGGTGTTCACCCGGCATAATGCTGTGACTAGCACTGTATGTACAAAATACTTAACATAAATGTAAACCCTGACTTAAAATTCTAACTAGAAAACTGTAACAATGTACAGACACAATACTGGTTGACCAGCACTAATCCGGCATCATTGGGACCTGTAGGGTGCCAGATTAGAGTGGTTAGGTTAGAATACACTTTAACCCATCGGCGATATTTATGCATTGGCAATTTCACCCACTTTACGCAGTATTTTTGGCCCATTCCATTGTTCCAGTTTACCAAACTCATAGCTAATTCACTAGTACAGTGGACCCCCGCATAACGATCACCTCCAAATGCGACCAATTATGTAAGTGTATTTATGTAAGTGCGTTTGTACGTGTATGTTTGGGGGTCTGAAATGGACTAATCTACTTCACAATATTCCTTATGGGAACAAATTCGGTCAGTACTGGCACCTGAACATACTTCTGGAGTGAAAAAATATCATTAACCGGCGGTCCACTGTATTCCTTCTATTCTGTCGACTGAAGTACAAGAAACTGCCCATTTACCTATTTCAACTACCCAATAAAGTGGTCAGAAAAAAGTAACTTGGCCAATTTCACACAAATTTCAAGAGATGACAATTTCAAAATAGGGTCCGGAATAAACAATGCAGACATTCCTGACACAAATAACATTTTCTCTGTTCATTAGTCACGTCTCCAGGCCCCTCGTATATTATACTTGCTTTCAATTTTGAATTTTTATTCACACAAAAAATAGAAGATTTACTGTTAGGCAGACCACTGCATTATTGTAATAATTGTGTAAATAATGTAAACCCATTTGAACTGCAATTAACCAGCCAGTTGGCCCATATTGGTTAACATATTTTTTCCCTCTTGAAAATCGGCAAAAAATCGAACATTTCTGTTATTTTGACTAAATTTTCTAGGTATTTTACCTTTGTAAAACCAATAAAAAATCATATCTACTTCTGAAATATTTTCCCTTCTTAAAAATAAACCCAAAAAAAAAAACAAGATTAAAACCTAAAAACCTTTTTTTGAGAAACATACAGAGGTAAAAAAAAATCAGGTAAGAGCAGCATGCCAAAGCCACTTTTTGCTTGCATTACGGGCTGGCTTAAAATAAATTAAGATTAACTAAGCAATGATGAAATCATGATAAAACATTTTTGTAAACAGATAAATTAAAAACCAAATGGTATTTCAAAGACAGGTCATGTGGTTTTTATGCATTGCTGTACATTCAGTCAATGGGGGTTTCTGTTAGGTAGTGTTTTTAAAAAATAATAAAGTTTAATGGGTTTTAGGTTTTTAAATTTATTTATATAATTGTGAGAAAAATTTAAGATTACAATTTTTTAAGGTTCAGTTATTCAGTATTTTTTTGGTTTTGGTAGTAAGTGATCTTTGAGAAAAAACTTGAATTTATAAAAGAGGTTTCTTTTATATTTTCAGGTAATGAATTCCAATTTTAGGGGCCTTTTATGTGCATTGAGTTTTTGCATAGCGTGAGATGGACACGAGGAACATCAAAGAGTGATCTGTGCCTTGTGTTATGGTCATGTGTTTCTGTTGAGGTTGGCAGATGTTTGAGGGGAGGGTTAATATCAGAGTTAAGTGTTCTATGTATGTAATAGGTGCAGTAATAAGTATGGATGTTTTGTTTTGGTGAGTAGGTTGAGTGTTTTGAATATTGGTGGAGTGTGCTGCCTGTAGTGAGAATTTATCATTCTAACTGCAGCCTTTTGTTGGGTAATTAGTGGTCTGAGATAGTTAATTGTTGTTGAGCCCCATGCACAAATTCCATAGGTGAGATAGGGGTAAATAAGAGAGTGATATAGGGCCAGGAGGGCTGACTGTGGAGCATAGTACCGTATCTTCAATAGTATACCTACAGTCTTGGAAATTTTCTTAGAAATTTGTTGTATATGTGTATGAAATTTGAGTCTATTATCAAGGTGGATTCCTAAGAATTTTCCCTCTGTTAGCTTTGTGATAGGTGATCCGTTTATCATTATGTTAAGAGGGACATCTGTAGCTCTGTTACCAAACTGAATGAAGTAGGTTTTGTCAATGTTTAGTGTAAGTTTGTTAGTCCTCATCCAGGTAGATATTTTCTGTAATTCGGTATTTACAGTATTGGCTAGCGTGACTGGGCTCGGGTGAAAGAAGACGTATGTAGTGTCATCTGCAAATAGTGTGGGTTTGAGTAATTGCGAAGCATTTGGTAGGTCATTTATGTATAGGAGAAAGAGAAGAGGGCCAAGGACACTTCCCTGTGGGACACCAACTGTAATTGGTTGTACAGAAGAGCTTGCCCCATTTGCGTACACATATTGGCTTCTGTTGCTGAGGTATGACTTGAGGTAGTTGAGGGAGTGCCCTCTTATACCATAGTGTGACAATTTTACGTGGAGCAAGTCATGGTCAACTGTATCAAAAGCTTTACGTAAGTCAATGAAGATCCCCAGTGGGACTTCTTTTTTTCTCTATTGCAGTGTATATATGTTCTAGCATGTGTATAATAGCATCATTAGTATTTTTTATTAGGCCTGAATCCAAATTGGCAGGGGTTGAGTATGTTTTGGGAGATGAGGTAGGAGTAGATTCGTTTATGAATTTAAATTTTTCGAAGATTTTTGAGAGAGGGTGTAAATTGGATATTGGCCTATAGTTATTCAACTCTGTTTGGTCTCCTTTATGGATCGGGGTGACCCTTGCTATTTTGAGAACTGTAGGGAAGGTGGAGGATTCAATGGATTTGTTAAAGAGTGTTGCAATGATTGGTGATAGCACTTGTGACACTTTTTTGTATATAAAGGGTGGTAAGGTATTTAAATCTCCTGCCTTGTTTTTTAGTGCGTGGATAATAAGGGAGACTTCGTATGGGTTAGTCGGAGCTAGGAACAGTGTGTTCGGGTAGTTGCCAGTGAGGTAGTCATTTGGTGGGTATCTGAGCTTGGGATTTATTGGCAAGGTTTTGTCCTAGAGTGGAGAAGAAATCATTGAGTCTGTTTGCTGTTTCTGTTGGTGGGATTTGGGGGGTTCATCTGATTTTGCTAATTTTTATTTCGCTATTTCGTGATATCTTTTTTGTTCCCAGAATTTCTGATAGGGTTTTCCAGGTCTTTTTTATATCACCTCGTAAGTTGGATAATCTGTTCTCATAATACAATTTTTTTGCCCTTCTTATCAGGCTGGTTAGGATTGACGAGTAACGTTTTGTTTGGTCTCTGGTTATGTAACCCATTCTGTACTGTTTTTCATATCGGTGTTTTGTATTTATGGATTTGAGAATGCTGGGTGTTAGCCAGGGACTGTTCAGTCTCTTAACTGTCATCTGTTTGGTTTTTTTAGGCCAGTGC